GCGTGTGTTAGATTTGGACGGTAATTACCGAAACGGCTTAGCTGTAACAGCATGAAAGGTATGGCGGTAACTGCACGTCCGCGTAACTGTCACCAGCTACTGCTTGATGTGAGGAGGAGTGATGGTGCCTACAGTACACTCTTGGTCATTGCGGACATTGAGAAAAATACGAACTAGAATTGCTCGATTCCTCAGTTTATGTGCATTAATTTGAGACTGACTAGGCCTCCCTCCAGTATTACACACTTGGTAGCAGTGCGGTGTTTTGCAGGAATTCGTCAGTCGGCAGAGGCTGTCAGTTTGTTCAGCAGTACGTATTAATTGGTAGGAATTCCTCCGATTCTCAGGCTGTGAGTTGGATTCAGAGTTGCCCACGAATAAGGGCAACAGTGATCCTGGTCACTTTGACGTGGAACAGTGCTGTTGGCACTGAAACCTGATCGCTGGAGTCCTTCCTTGCTCTTTCCTTTGGCCCGCTCAGGTGAAAAGGGGAATTGTGGGTGGTTTTGGAAACACTGGCAGCAAGATAAATTGTGTCTGTACTGTACTTTGTAGTGTGCAAGAGTTTTTCCAGCATGTTTTCATTCATGTTCTTGATAACCTTGTAATCTGTTTTCATACACATAGAAATTAGACAACTGAGATTTGGCCATTCATGGCAAGCTTGAACTATTCCTAAGTCATTTGGTTCCAAATTTTACATGAACGTTTTTCTTGTCCTGTAAAGTAATGAAATATGTCAGATGTACTGTGTTTCCTGAGGTGAAAAAGCTGGAGAAATAGCTATTTTCTTGTTTTACTTCAGTGCACATTTTTGGTACCTGCAGCTTTGGAATCTGTTCCTCACCAAAAATCTAACCTATAACTCCTTATTGTCGATTAAGTTAAAATGAAGATGAGGGGGATAAATGGGGAGTTTTTGTTTTGACTAATTATTTCCAATGCAATAAAATTAGAAGTGAAGCTTCCTGAAATCACTAAAAGTGATTTTCTGAAATGCTTCTCCAGTACTACAGATCAACAAGGACGATGTGACCGCCCTGCACTGTAAAGTGGTCTGCCTTATTCAGAATGGAGGCTTCAAGGAAGCCTTGAACGTCATCAATACGCATACCAAAGTTTTAGCCAAGTAAGTGGTTCAGTAGGAACAATTTTATTAGAACCATAACCTGTTTTCTGGTTTTGTTGTTTGTTGTTGTTGGTGGTGGTGGTGGTGTGTGTGTGTGTGTGTGTTTGAGACAGGGTCTCCCTATGTAGCCCCAGCAGCTCTTGAACTCAAGATGCTCCTACCTTGGCCTCCCAAATGCTGCGGTTACAGGTGTATCCTACACACACACCCACATACACCTGGCACCTGTCACAGATTTTTGACCTACTTTTCTTTCTTTGTGTTTTTCTTGCTGAAACTGGAAGAAGCAATAGTAACTCTGTCCCTTTTTCGTAGGGACACTTCTCTCACACACCCCATCCTCCATTTGAATCAAGAAGGGGATGAATTGTAGAGGGATGTGGGACCTAAATGTAACAAGGCTGCATGGAGGATATGGGGATAACAACTCAGCAGAAAATTGAAAAATATACAGAAAGAAAGGGCAGGGATGTGTAAGTATAAAGCATTTAACATCTAAGTTGGGAGAGCTTTTTAGGATGGTATTGGCAGTCTTACCCTGGCCTCGATGCTGTGAATAAGTTTGAGGCCAGCTGGGGCTATATAATGAGAACCTGTCTCAAAAAACCAAAAGTTTTGAGAATTACTTAGGTAAGTATGATTTAAAGCCAAGATCTTTCACTGACAAAAATTCTTTAACAGTTTTTATGTAGCAGTTTTTAAAAATCAATTTATCATTTAACAGAATGTGAATTTATATTCTGAATTGTTACTCTTGTTTGGTTTTTCTTAATTTTGGTACTGG